AGCTGCTTGTCTCCTACTAACTTTGGATAGATCCCAAGCCAATGGACGTATGCAAGTCACGGTCAATATCTTTCAATCCACCTCACGGTCTTATTTCGCCGGTGTTATCTTCCACTACCACCTGACAAGTATGTAGTTGTGACAATTTACATAATCACATGTCGAGAATGATCGCCTGCCGACAGCTTGCCGGCAGGAGAGCAGTGAGCTCAAGCATCAACATCCAAGGCAATAGTGGCATCCTGGAACATCAAGCAATCGATGAAACGTTTTACGCTTATACGCAGCTTTCCAGTCCGCGCTGAGTGAGGTTTCCATAGTAGTCCCAGTGCTTACGAGCCTTCGACCCCTTTGTATGGCCTCCTCTCTGAAGCTGACACTGCGTGCAGGCCGGTCATAACTCAGTTGAGCACAGCTCAAGCAATTCGGAAATATTTTTAGGTTTAGGCTCTACAGACTGTGTACAAGTAACGTCCTCATTGAAGATCGACTGCGTGTCATGGCCCTAAAGTTGAGCAGCATGTCTCGGCAGCCTAAGCCCGCCTCCCCGACATGCGATACTACCTTTCGTGCAGTGATAAGGCATGTTTGGTAAGTACTTAGATTTTACTTGTTATGCATCCTAATTTTTGTCTCGTGTACATGACTCGCTCTGAAAATAGAGAATGTGCATAGAGTTTGCTGACGACCAAGGAGACCCGATCCCGCATTGTTTTGATTAGGGGATCTTGTCAGAGATCTCAGTCGGTTCATTCAGAAAACAAATTTGCTTGTTATTCTTACTAAAGTCCAATGGTCGATGCTGAGACAATGTGGTCCTTGGTCAGCGCCCGAGACGGCAAGCTATGGCTGTGGCTTCTATTTATGTGTAAGGGCACAATAAAGGGAAAAGACTGGCAGGAACAGCGGAGAGCAAGAATAGCATGATGAGCGACGATCGCCGTACATTTTAAAGCCAACGTTCTGTTCGATGCAGCGGAGTTCCCCCACTTTTAACACTGCAGACTCCTCCCTACCCTTACAGTGACTCCGTGCAACACAAAACCGTCACGCCGTCACATTGGAGAAGGGGGCTTTGGGGGAAAAGCTTGACCGGAACAGTGATTTAGAAACCATTCTCGTCATCCGAGCTAGGGGTGATGACAGCAGCTGGAAGGACAACTGTCACCTGAAACTAGAGACAAAATGGATGCAGAGCGGGTAATTCAAGGAAGACATTGGACTCTGGCGGAGAGGGGGAGAAATGCCGCTATCAGACTATGACGCGGCCCCAGTGTTTAGGGCCACTTTGCACGCATTTCAGCACTATAAACTGGCGAACCCAGGACAAAGGTAAACGCCATCGGACCAAGTCATTCGGAACAGGCCGTGCGAGATTCGTCATGCTATTGGCCTGAGACTACGCACGCAAGGTACTAAGACGGGCGTCTAGCGGATTTCTAGTGTCGGTGGTTGGTAGGAGTCGACTATTCATGTAGTGCTACTAGTCCAGTCGGAGAGATCAAACCCGAGATGTCCTGGTGGACTGGGTGTATTGATGTATTGATGTATTATTGATCTCGTCCAAAAACGGTCTTTACATGACGATTTGTGTGAACCGACCAGGGTGCATCCGTAGGTTGGACACCCAAGGAAACCGATGAAATCGCTGACACCAACGAGTCAGACAGCACAGAGCGTGGCAGATTCTTCCAGGCGTTCCAGTCGGATCGGCACGGTAAGCCCAGTAAGCCCATCGCCAAGACTGGCAAGGCTGTTCAAGTTGTTTCCAAGGTTCCTTGCCACTCTTTGGGCTGGACGGTAACTGAGCACGCGACCGGGGGGCCCCCCGTAACAGTACACAGTAAAGTAGCACGCCGGTTTGGCGGCGGTTCTTTTTATTCTTTTTATACGTCTCTTCCCTGCCGATCGCCCTGGCGATTCGTGGTTTTTTTTTCTAGGCGCCCCCCATTTGTACTCAAATCTAATTTATTGACGACTATTCACATTACTCCCTCTTATGCGCCGCACTGATTACGTCGCTTTCCACTGAATAATTATACTCTTGTTTCTTGTTTCTTGTTCAATCTTCTTCTCTCTTTCTCTTCTATTCTGATTCCTCCACACACGTACATACATACATCTTTTGTCCCTCTCTTCTCGAACTGGGTGGCCCCTCCAACTTGTCTTCGTCCGTTCCCCCTTTGGCCCCTTCGGCCCCTACAACAAATCCCGCCCATTCCGGTTTTATTGGCAGCGCGGACATCCCCCGTCTTATCTACGCCATCGTGCAACCTCGGATAAGAGCATGCGCTTTACGGTCTCTCAACATTGAAAGAACAAGTATCGTCTATCGTTTCCCGCCACTATGTGGTCTTCGACGCCCCGTTTGATTCTCGGCCTCTATGGGTTATTATGTGCTGTTGGATCGGCAAGCGCCGATGTCGATTTCATGAGTGTGCGGCCTGATATGGTCAAGGATTACTCCGGAAAAGGGGGGGAACCGGGAGAGAAATACTTCAGTAAGTCTGGCCTAGTGCTGCGGTTGTTATCGGCTTTGTCTAACAAGTTACAGAGGAATCTAGGTATGCCATAGGATCTACTCGGGCGGTGTTTCTTTTGTTGTCTTTGACTAACTCTAATCTGAACTAGCTTCCACTACCACTATGATGGACGGTATGTCTGGTTCCCCACTGGTTGATTTTCACGATTGCTGATCTCCTTGATAGCTTCGCCGATGAACCTCTCTCCGAGGCGGAGACTGTTCCGCACCTGTCGGAACTCATCCGGACCTATCTTTCGACAATGGCAGACCTTGGGGCGGAAACCTGGATAATGCATGGAACTCTGCTGGCTTGGTGGTGGAACCAGAAGGTGTGACACAAACCATGGGTGTGTACGATGCGCCGCCCGCTAATGGATGGATAGATCTTTCCATGGGACAACGACCTCGACGTTCAAATTTCCGAGCCGACCATCCATTTTCTTGCCGATTACTACAACATGACCGAGCACCACTTTGAGATTTCAGGCGTCGACGGCGGCCGAACCTATTTGCTGGAGATCAACCCGAACTATGTCGTCCGATCGACCGATGACAAGCTTAACGTGATCGATGCGCGGTGGATAGACACATCGTCTGGGCTGTTCATCGATATTACGGCGGTACGCAAGGACGACGAGCGGAGGCAGAATGATCGCGAGCCTGGGGCATTGATGTGCAAGGATGGCCATCGGTTTGATGTAGGTGGCGCTTGAACTGGTGACACAACAATGTGGCTGACCTGGGGTTAGGAAACCGAGATCTTCCCACTGCGGAACAGTTACTTCGAAGATGTTCCGGTCAAGATCCCGTTCGAATACGTTCGTCTACTAAAGAAAGAATACGGGTCGAAGTCGATGACTGCTTCCGTGTTCCAAGGGTATGCTTCGATCTATAGTCAATGTCTTCGCTCTTACTAATGCGTGGCACAGATACCATTTCAACCAACAGACTCAAGTATGGGATAAGATGAGGTAGGTTTGATGCGCCCGAGCCATTCGCGATTCTTGCTTACATGTTTCGATTTAGCCGGAAGAGGCACTTTGGGCGACGGGAGACCGACATTCCCGTTCGGACTACGCCCCTCGGGCGCCTGTTCAGGGGTTGATCGTGCGACTGTATGATATCGACCGAGCTCCCTTGATGCGCTTGTATCACGTCGGGCTTGTGTATGACGGTAACGATTTGAAGTGGCCCAGCACCTAGACTTTTGACTTTATTTGCATATACGGCGTTTGCCTTCGGTGCGCTACCAACTCCCGCATGTTGGCTATATATGGCGTTTGGGAATGTTTCTATATATACTCTGGATCTTTTTTTTACTCTGGGACATGGGACATGGAATACCGTTTGAAAATGTGGTCGCCCATAGTAAGATGGGCTGCTGAGCATCAAAGCCCGTTGTGTGGCTTCTGTGAACATACTATATAATGCGACTTACTACCTAGTAGTACTACACAATGGTGTGAATGTATATAGGGGGGGTGGGTCTCAATTACAATTAGAGTGATGTCTGCAATCAAAATAGAAGTTACTCGTGTGACATCCTTGCTGTTTTCGTCTTGGCTCTACACTGTTTTCCAGCAGCCAACTCTTAAGCTTGGGCACTACCACAACGATCTCCTATTGACGAACAAAAGATGAACAAATATGAACATCTGTCATAAAAAGTTGTCTAATGCACACGAATTTATGAGAAGGACTGATTGTTCCTTCTGCAGGATCATCCTGCAGATAGATACCAAGTTAAACTGGATTACAGTCTCCTCCGCGGACCACCCGCGGACCATCCGCGGACTGTCAAGGAGACTGGTGCAGTTTGAAATAAGTACAATCGGAGAAAGCTTGGGCGTCCGGAAATAGAAGCGTGTTGACTTGGCGGACTTTGGGGGTTAACTCCGGGGTTGATCAGATAACTACGGAGTACTGTGTGTGGGCAATCCGGTGGTGAGAATCAGCAGCCCTGACCATCTGGAATGACGGTATCTGGCTAGTGACGTGTGTCCGTAAACTGACACTGCATGATCGCCCCAAATCCCGCAGCCAACAAAGTCCGAGAATCGCGCCGTCTCAATCTTATCCTTCTTTATCTTTTCAACTAATTCTTGCCCTACACTTCCCCATCCACGTGATTGTTCAGATGGGATTAGTAAAGCAGGGCTAGACATGACCAATCACAGACCCCTTAACCAAAGCGACGGGTCCAGAACAGGCCGGGTGTAGCCAATAGTGAGAGACCATCCATCCCGGGGTTCCACTAAAGTATGAGTCGATGACTGAAGATCCAAGTCAGGCGCGACAAGTTGATAATTTATCTAACCATTATTGTTGAAGTTAAATCCTTTATTTCTCACTCTGCTTTTTCTAACCGCTCTGTTCCTGTTTTTCATGTCCATCAATCGTCTCCTGCTACACATTCTCCTTGCGTGAGGATGAGGTTTGGTGGGGCTCCTGTCATTATCAGCAACAGTTCCACGCCATGTCCACTTCGTCTGTGATCTCACTCTCAGCCCCATCGTCCCTCTCGCCCAGGAACGGGTCTGACGTTGTGCCTGGCCCGCATACCAGCCACGACACCCACGGCATCCCTTCCCATTCCGCACAAGACCACAGCTTGCGCAGCTGCATCACTTGCCGTCGGAGAAAAGTTCGCTGCAACAAGAAAACCCCTTGCTCCAACTGCGCCAAGGCCGGGATCCAGTGTATCTTTCCCCCACCAGGAAGGGCACCACGCAAAGTCAAACGACCACAAGATGCGGAGCTCCTGTCTCGCTTAAGGCGCCTCGAGGGTGTCATTGAGCATCTCAGCGAAAAGAAAGCGACCGGTGCTGCGGTGTCATCTCCTGATACGCCTTCCCCGCGGGTACAACAGCATCCTCAAAATTCACCCGCACCCCCGGCCAATGCGCAGGCCTCGGTGCCTGATGGTGATGGTGATGGCTGCCCGCTTCTTATGGATGCAGCCAAGCTGGATCCTACCAGGCCGATAGCGCCGCGGAATATTGAGCATGAGTTTGGTCGATTGGTTATCGACGAGGGTCGAAGCCGTTATGTTAGCAATCGATTCTGGGCGAGTCTCGGAGATGAGGTGATTAACCCTATTTTCTTCTTATCTTGTAATTATGCTAACGTCAATAGATCGAGGAACTGCAAGATATTCTAGACCCGTCGTCTTCGGACGAGGAAGACTATCCGTCTCCTGAGACATCGTCAAGCCATTCGGCCAACCATGATGGGTTTTTATTCGGGTTCTATTCCGTTTCACACTCACTACACGATTTCCTACCGCCGAGATCCCAAATTCCCTTATTATGGAATACCTGGTTGGAAAATGTGGCGCCCTTGATACCAATCGTTCATAAAGCAAGCGCCAGGCAGCTATTCACTACAGCTTCCCAAGATCCAAACAGCTTGGATAAGAACTTTGAGGCGCTATTCCTTGCAATGTGCATGGTCGCGATTATCAGCATGTCGCCCAGCCAGTGTTCAGTTCACCTGGGAGAAGAGAGGGATGTGCTTGTCAAGCGATACCGGTTTGCAGTCGAGCAGGCGCTTTCCAAAGCGGATCTCTTGAATACTCAAAATATCACTCTTCTACAGGCTGTGGTCATATTCTTGATAGGCGTTCGTCGAGAAGATGACACCAAATTTGTCTGGTCTATGACAGCGCTTGTTCTTCGCCTTGCGCAAGGGCTGGGTCTCCATCGTGACGGCACCAACTTCGGCCTGAAGCCTTATGAAACGGAGATGCGACGACGACTGTGGTGGCACATTTGCTTGTTGGACATCCGGGCAGCCGAGGATCACGGGTCTGATGCACAGATTCATGAAAGATTGTACGATACTCGACTGCCACTGAATATCAATGACGAGGACATCACGCCGGACATGAAGGAGCCTCCTAAGGAGAGAGTAGGCTGGACTGAAATGACATTTTGCCTGATTCGCTGCGATATTACAGTTGCTGTGCGTCGAGTCAGCTACACTTGTCCGAACGCCCCTTTCATTTCGGCAACCCGACAGCTCAACCCTGATAACTGCTCCAAGGTGATTAGGGCGATCAACGACCGCATTGAGGACCGATATATTAAACATTGTGACATGAATATTCCGATTCAGTGGGTCTGCGCGACGATTGGTCGTCTGATCCTGACCAAACTCTGGCTCGTCATTCATCATCCGATGACCCGGCCTGAACGAGGCTTAACGCTGAGCCACGCAAATCGTGAGAGCTTGTTTGCTACTTCAGTGGAGGTGGCTGAGTTCCAGCGACTGCTGGATGGCGACGTCAAGACGTACAAATGGAGCTGGCTCTTTGCCACGAATATGCAATGGCATGCCATTGCCTTTGTGCTGTCAGAGCTTTGTGTCCGCCCACTCAGTCCTCTTACCGACCGGGCATGGAAATGCGTGAGCACCCTATATACAGAGTGGATCAAGAACAGCAAGCAGCGGAAAGGCATGCTCTGGCGTCCGCTTTCCCGCTTGATGAAGCGAGCAACCGCGTTCAGAGCCAAGCAAGAGGAGATGCGCGCGCAGATGAGTTCCGGCATAATTGCAGCTCACGATGTCACTGCCCCGAATTGCCCTGGAATCTCAATTATACAGCCCCCAGTCCTGCCCCGAGCACTGGACTTCCAGGCTTCACCAACAACCCAAGAGAATGAACCCTTGCATGGTGTGCCCGAGAACGGCGGACTCGATTTCGATTTGCGCGACGGACCAGTCAGCGTGATCAAGGATTTATTCCCCGACACGGACTGGCTGAACCCTGCCACAGCAGCCAGCATACAGCAGCAGGAGTGTTCGGGCGCGTCGATAGACACGCTAGTGAGGCCGGCGGAGCCGAGCGAGACCCAGCAGGAGATGCCTAATGCGAATCTCAACTGGGAAGAATGGGATCAGGTCATGACTGATTTCCAGATGGACCTGCAAGCGTCCAATACGCAGAATCCTTTTGGCAATGCCCTGGACTGGCTTGCTTGATGATGATACCAGTAGTGTTGATACCTTGATGGCCCTGGTGGCTATTATCGGCATCATGAAGATGCCTCTGTACTGAATGTCTCCTCTCTACACGACCACCAAAACCTCTCCATTCACGATAATGAGAAATTTAGCTAGGAAATGAGCTAAAAGCTAATGATAAATTATGTATGTACTATGTACCTTGCAATGCAGCCGAGGCAGTACTTTACCTGTATACCTACACAGTAGGCAACACAACAACAATGACTGAATACAAACACACCAATTAAACCTCTAAATAAGGAACAATCATAATCTTCTTCAAATTAAACAATCAAACACAACCAACCCCCAAACACAACAATAACAACACCCCCGATCTATAAATCACGTGACACCGCGTAACCACCACCCGCCCAGGACAGGCCAGCTTGCGTAACTATACCTCCACCTACCTCCCCTTCCCAATCCTTCTTCGCCCTCAACCCAACCCCGACCTCAATTCCATTCTCCCCGATAGAAAAGAAAAAAAGAGAAATACAAATACACAACATGGCTCCAAAACGCACCGCCGCACCAGCAACAACAGGCCCCGTCCCCGCGCCCTCACCACCCACCATGCCCTCCGCATCATCCTCCTCCGCACCCGCAGCATCCTCCTCTCTTTCCTCCGGTCCCAAAACCCTCACCCAGAACTCCTCTATCTACGACATCGCCCACACGGTCTGGCAGCAGTATTTGGCTACTACGCCGCAGCGCACAATGCTGCTTGATGCGTTCATGGGATTCTTGGTGCTGGTTGGTGGTGTGCAGTTTGTTTATTGTGTTGTTGGGGGGAATTATGTGAGTTTACCCATACATTCTTCCTTTTTTCGGTTGGGGGAGAGAGAGAGAAGTAAATATCTAAGTGGGGGTTTGGGCTAATGTGTTTGGGATACTTATAGCCGTTCAATGCCTTCCTGAGTGGTTTCTGTGCCGCTGTAGGACAGTTTGTTCTTACGGCGAGTTTGAGGATGCAGACTAGTGCTGCTACTTCATCTTCTAGTGGGGGGAGTATTGCGAAAGGAAAGGGAGGGAAGAAGGTTGTCAAGGGAGATGCTGGGGAGGAAGGGAGTGGTGTTTCGGCTGAGAGGTGAGTTCAACACTTTGTTTGGGTGGTGATGTGAGTATGTCATTGCTAACTGGTTTGTTTTTCTTGTGTAGGGCATTCGCGGATTATGTCTTTGGGAGTTTGATTCTGCATTTCTTCTGTATTAACTTTATTAACTAGATGCTATCGGGTCTGGTATGGATGGATATATTTGAAGTGTGGGTGTGCAGCGGATATGATGGGAAGAGGGTGGAAAGGCAGAACGCTGGATATAAAGTGTCAGGTGAGGATAGGATAGGATAGGAAGGGTGCATGCAGGCTGTTTCCCTGGTGGAGTAGCCTTGTCCGGTCTGAATCCTATCCGGGTTTGGGAAGGTAAAACAAGTCGAGGATCTGTTATTGCGTTATGTTAGCTAGCTATTACTATTTATACCTGTGTATCAATGTATCGATTCTACTGTTTACACCCGGCTTCAACACTCATATAGCAATGATATCAGCTAATAATCTATTCGTATGTCCCTGGGTATAGTATATCCTATATTCTACTAGTATAAATCAAAAAGCCCGTCCCGGTTTGCGCTTGATCTGCGGCTTCTTCACCACGCTTCCGCCTCCACTTCCGCCATTGCGCGCACCACCACCACTACTCGAGGCCGTCACACCTCCTACACGTCTTGCCGTTGCGACAGGCCTCCGTACCACAGACCCCACTTCGATCTCCTTTCTGCGTCTGGTCGGATCGTTCCTCTCCGCTTCGCGCTGCTTCTCGGCTGCGGCGCGTTCGCGATCCGCCGCCATCTGGGTCTCGATCTCCACGCGCCGGTTGAACTCTTGTTCCGTGATGCGGCGCTCGCGCTGAGAGTAGCCCTTTTCTTTGACGGAGTAGAAGACGCCTCCGAGTTCGGCGAGCCACTGTTATCATATCCTATTAGTTTTTCCACGTATTGAGGGATGGGGCGGTAGACTTACATGTGGATCTACAGCAGTCACGGTGGACATATACTCCTTACTGGTGAGGATCAGTTCATGGTAGACCACGTACTCCGGGACATATCCCAGACCGTAGAGGGCACTGGTTGGGTGGAGTTGCATGCTGACGCTGGTTCGGAGGTTAAGGAACTCGCCGATACCCTTGACGCGCGCGGCTTGGTGGTAGAAACCCGAGCAGATGCACTTGCGGATCTCGTCCCAGTCGGTGCCGCAGCTGACCAGGGGCATCTTCTGCACCGTCATGATGTCGTGCAGTTGGTCGCGCACTTCGCGCGCCCGCCGCAGGGCCTTGGCGTGGAGGAAGTGGCGTGTGCACCAGCCGTCGGAGTAGCCGTTTGCTTTCCATTGCGTGTAGACGTGGAGTAGAGTGAGATGGTCGGATTCCGGGACAAAGAATTTCTCGCGCGCAGCGTCGGATTCTTCTTGGCGCTCTTTGGGGCGGTAGAAGACGCTGGGGACGGATAGCATGGATACGATGGTTAGCATCTCCTCGCTGCAGCCGTAGGTTTCTGCGGCGGTGATGATGAGCTTTGCGAGTGGAGGATCCATTGGGAATGGTGTCATCTGACGTCCTAGTGGGGTGAGGTCACCGAGGTTGTCGAGTGCTCCTAGGGACCAAAGCTCGAAGAGGGATGTGGTGATAGTCTCTTGGGGAGGGGGGTCCATAAAGTCGAAGTCGAGAAGGTCTTTGACGCCAAGAGATTTGAGGAGAAGGACAGTGTTGGAAAGACTGGTCCGCTGGATTTCCGGAATCGTTTGCAGGTATAGCTCGTTCTTGTACGCCACCTCGGTATACAGACGATATGCCTTGCCCGGCCCCGTACGTCCTGCTCGGCCAGAACGCTGGTTGGCATTGGCCTGTGATATAGGCGTGATCTGCAGAGTGTCCATGCCCATCTTGGGGTTGTATACCTTCAGCTTGGAGTAGCCCGAATCCACAACGAACATGATACCGTCAACTGTCAGACTGGTTTCCGCAATGTTGGTGGCAACAATCACTTTCCGCACGCCAGGCTCAGCCCGTTCGAAAATTTTGGCCTGTTGCTCCGCAGGCATCTGACTGTAAATGGGCAAAATGCTCAACTTCGGCGGATCGTTTAGTAGCTTTAACCGCTCATCGACCAGCTCGCATGTTGCTTCAATATCTTCCTGACCTGTCATGAACACAAGAATATCACCAGGACCTTGCGACACGTGGATGGCCAAGACCTGCTTGACCGCGCTGTCAACATAGTCCTCGCAGGGTGTGCGTGAGAAATGAGTATCGACAGGGAAGGTTCTTCCGGGGATGATGAACTCCGGTGCGCCACCGTAGAATCTGGAGAAGCGCTCTGCGTTCATGGTGGCCGATGTGACGATAAGCTTCAAGTCCCTGCGTCGAGCTAGGACCTTCTTGAGAAGACCCATAAGCACATCCGTGTTCAACGCTCTCTCGTGCGCTTCGTCCATGATGATACAAGAATACTTGTCGAGGTCCTGCTGGACAAGTGACTCTCGTAGAAGGACACCATCGGTCATGTACTTGATGACCGTCTTCGGGCCTGTGCAATCTTCGAAACGAATCGCATACCCAACTTCATCACCAAGATCCACCTCCATTTCTTCACTGACACGCTTGGCAACACTCATAGCTGCCACTCGACGAGGTTGCGTACACCCAATCATGCCATACTTCGAATAGCCGTCCTCGTGCAGGAACTGCGTCAGCTGTGTTGTTTTTCCAGACCCAGTCTCACCAACTACAACCACAACCTGGTTATCCCGAATGACGCGCAACAAATCCTCTCGGACCGCGAACGCCGGCAGGAATTCCCTCTGCTCCCGAAGCGTCTTGCTCTTGCTGAACGAACTCTGTCCACCTTCATCCTTTTTCAAATGTTGGGCGAACTTGTTTCCGCTCTTGTAGGCATCCTCCACTGGCATAGCGACCGCACTGTCACCCTCATCCTCCTTTACACCCATGAGGTTTCCCAGCGCCGTTCCCGCCATCGTTGTCGCCTCCTGCGCTTGCTTCTGGCGTTCCCGCTGCTGACGTCGTTCGCGAACCACTTTGCTTCCTTTCCGACTGAATACTGCCATATCACTCTGCGGGTCTCGGACAGCTGAGATAGGCTCGAGCTGTTTGGTGAAGATCGTGCGGCCATCGAGGAAGGGCGGACGGAGGTCATGGACTAGCAAATGAACTCGGGTGGCTTCTTCATCTTCGGGCATGAAATCGCCATCGAAATCGCGTCTCTGGGCGACACCAGATGTGAGCATACGGTTCGTTTCCCAGTTGTCGATGTCCTTGCGCTTTGCGTCGCGCAGCTGTGGCGGGAGATTGGAGCTCTTCAGCCTTTTGGCTGGAGGCTGGTCGTTGGAAGCCATGATTGTGTGTAATTGATGATCGAACAACACGATCGCTTGCTAGAGCAATTAATATGTTAATGCTTCGCAGGGGGCTACACCTCCCGCCGATAGTTGAAGATGCAATCGCCGCGAATTGCGGAATCCATCGTTTCTATCGGAGTTGCAGCAAACACTGCAAACTATCGCCGCCCGCTTCGTCACGTGTAACATCCCCTCCAAAGACAGGCAGAAGATGGTGCGGAATACATTAATATATTAAATAGAGCTCTGGTAGTTAGTTAGTTGGCTATAGTCAATTGTACTGTTTATATCTTATTTCTGCATTACTCGTGGTTTGTTCGTTAGCGACGCAAACATACTAGTTGCAACAAAGCGACGCCGCAAGCACCGCCGATCCATATCGAAACTCCCCGCATCGCAACTCCGGCTTTGCAACTGCACTTTCAATCAGATTTCGACATCATGGCCAGCCAAGCGCAAGTCAATCCCAAGAGGCAACAGGGTATGTCTTGTACCGAATCTGCCTTTTTGTTACCGTCTGAAGAAGCCAGACTGATTCGAAGCAGAGCTCCAGCTCCAATACTCCAACTACAAAAACACGCTACAACAATTGGCGCAGAAGATCGGTGACATTGAGCAAGAAGCAGAGGAGCATAAGTAAGCTGCCCTATTTCGGAAGTTCCCTTGTTGTCAATACTTGCACAAAAGGGTCTCGCTTCTACGCTGTTTGCGGATGTCAGCTAACGCACACTCAACGCTAGGCTTGTTATCGAAACCCTCGACCCCCTCCCTAAGGACCGGAAATGCTTTCGGATGGTGAACGGTGTTCTGGTAGAGCGGACAGTTGAGGACGTTCTCCCGTCTCTCAAGACAAACTCGGATGGATTGAAGCAGGTCTTGGAGGAGCTATTGAAGCAGTACAAGTCGAAGCAGACGGATCTGGATAACTGGAAGGTAGGAATATTGTTCCCTGGTGGTCCGCGTATGTGGGATGATCAATGGATTGCTAACAGTTCTGTCGCTTTACAGAAGAAGAACAACATCCAGGTTGTACAGCCTTAGAGCAACGGCGCTTGTGTTCTCACGGTTTCTGTATCCTCTTCATGCAGCGTTATACACTGAAAAATAATATTTCTATAGTAAAATCATGTAATTCTAGACATCCGATCTGCTATCATATAGTAAATCAGAAAACACCGTAGATGATTGTGAAAGACATACAACAAATATTATATAAAGTAGCATCATTAAAGATAAACCTGTGGAAGGCCTGCGTTACTAATCTGCCCTTCCGCCAGTCTTCATCTACAACTTCAATTGATCCGAAAACTTAGCATATCCATCACCCAGCATTATCAAGAGAAATCGCTTCACTGCGCACCTAAATCTGGAAATATGTGACAGCATGTCACAGCGCCGTCAATTTTCCAGTTGCGATCCATGCCGTCGCTCCAAGCGACGCTGCTTTTTCGCCTCTCCCCGAGGAGAGAGGTGTACTAACTGCCAACGACTGGGCCATTCATGCACCTTTGACTTTGCCAGATCTCGGAGGGTAAAGCCCAAGCAAGACCTAGTGCGGCCTTCCCCATCGACAAACAGCACTGAGCTACCAGGAACTCCACTTCTAGGCTTTGATAGTCCTGATGGTTACTATCAGGCCGGTACCACGCCCCCCGGGGATACCCTGGTCCCGGGGCTCAGCTTCAACGAAGGCCATGATACACAGAAGAGCCATGACGATATCATGGACCTCTATCTGGTGAATCGACTTGCGTCGGATTTTGTACCTCCAGTGCAAGTATCAAGCGAGGCGCAAACATCCGTTCGCAGCAGTCTGACGGACAGAGTGTCCTACGCGATGCCATTACTTGCTGGTAGTTCACTGACGAGTCCTGTCCGCTTGCTGAATTCCAAGCTGGATGCAACAATCATAGACGATCGGCTGGCAAAAATTTACCACGCGATCATTACTGGATGTGCTTCCCGGTTTGTGGATTACGACTGCAATTTGTATGCAACGGCGTCACGCTACCGACTGGAAGGTTGGAGTGAACAGCCCTCGCAAAGACATACACCTGCTACTTTGGATAGTTCTACAAACACATTTTTTCCGGATATCCCAGCTTCGGTTACACCGTTGGATGCCATATCTTCTCCGGATTCAGGGATGCCATTAAACGATCTCTCTTGCACTTTTACTGTTATCGGGGCCGTCCGTTTCCTTGATCATTTCGCGGGTCTCTACGGCAATCGCATCAGTGCAACTGCGCGTAAACAGTCTGATGCTGCGCTGAAATCAGTGCTTCGCACGTTCTCCCTTCAGTGGCTACCTACCGAGAGTACATTAACCGGGGACAGTATCTTGCAGGACAGTGTTAATGGGATATCCACCAGCGAAGCATCCCAGAACGCATTCTACGATTCTTGGTTTCAGACACAGGAGATTCTCGAACAGGCGCAATCAGTCCGGTCGTTCAGGGTTGTCTATGCCATTTTGCTTTTTGGTGGCATTACCGTTCCGACTAAAGCTCCAGTCGATTCAACACGCGAGTTCCTTGACAGCGGCCTGCAAAGCCTTTGTTCTCTGAATGAGCTTGTTAGGAAACACTGTACTACTCTGGGTACTTACTCTATATACAGTGGTCTGCTGGAAGCCAGTCTGAATGCTGTGCATTGGGGCGGATACATCCGTGACCTTGGGGCATCGCTCACCACAAATCGTCCATGCAGACTTCCCATTCCGGGTCACAATAAAGGTAAGCGCATTGTTATGGGCGATAAGTCTTGGATATCCAAGCTGAACTCGAATAGTGCTTTTCAGTACCGGCTCGATCTTGTCCACATTCGACTGGTCGAGTAACCAAGATTTTCCTCCCGGTCTGGATGACAGCATCCCAACTATCTGTAAGAAGGCAGTTGCTGAGGCGTTTTACATATGCAGGCAGATAGTTGAGGTCAAGAATTTACTACACTGTGATCAGTCTTTGGCTTGCATGGAGGATGTCACCTCAACAGTGGCAGCCGTGAGCAAATTCGACCAACAGTTCCGCCCGTTCATTAACTACTGCATCAACAACCTGGAGTGTCTTTCCTTACACTCTAGAACAGCTTCTGGTGGGTGCTTAAGCTAATTGATGTGTCCACTCACTGACAAATTGAACAGTCTCGCTCGTATTATTCTGGGATCTGAGCATCCTCATCTTAGCCGAGGCGTTGGCTCTCAGCAGGGGAAGCGACTTTGTTGACGACTTTATCATCGCAAGTATGCGCTCCTATCAGGCTGAGGCAATCGCATCGGTCACAAAAACAGTAGAACACGTACTCTCGCTACCGCCAGACTCTGCCTTCAATCTTGAAAACGGACTTGATGCTGAAGTCCCTCTCATCGCCTATCACATTACCCCGAGTTTAACGGCAACAGTCTACCACAAGACCGTTGAAACTTTGATAAACTCTCAGCAATCGCCGCTTCATACTGGAGAGACAGCCGACGACGTTTGGCAACGGCAGGTTGATATCGTGCTGAAAGGTCTCAGCTCACTCGGTGAGACCGTCGGCGGATCCGAGGCGTCCACAAGGGTTTTGCAGTCACTAATGCCGCGATATGGGGATATACTCTCTGAATGCTGGACTTCAGATTTCAGCACTTGACCGGTTTTAGAACACCTGCGAAGTACAGCGGGTCCGACATGCGGCGTTTACTATAAGTACGGGCGAAGCTAGAAACACGATTGTGGTTCCTCTGCGGGTTTCCACCGACATTTATTTCGTGGCTGGGGAGAAAAAGCAAATATGCAAGCGCTGCGATCACCAAGGTGGGCTTACTTGCATCATGTTGAAGCTAGTACTGTTATCCTAACCAAACGAAGGACTCTGTTCCCGCAGTGAAGGTAAGGCCAAGCACCCTAACTCCCCAACAACCGCCTGTTACCCAGTAACTAATGCCGCTACTAGCAAGAATTATTTGAATATATGGATAGAACAGTGTGTCTCATAGTTCACCTGTCACTATGCAGATACGTCATTGGAATGCTATCGGTTCCGCTCTGTCGGCTCCGACCATCGGTTCCGCAACCCAGAACTTTTCTCGAGATGCAGTCTGCCGATCCTCGATATCATCAAACAGTTCTTAACATTTCAGAACAACAATCAATTGGCTTCACTCTCCTAGGGTCAGTCACTTACTATACTCAACTCAGACAACAACACCACTACACAGCTTCCACACCAGCACCTACTATCTCGGAAATATATCCCTCCTCCTACTACTATATAAACTACAATGCCTACTACTACAACCTCCACCCCCCTCCCAACCCTAATCTTCATCCCGGGCGCCTGGCACCTCCCAACCTGCTACACCAAACTCATCACCTACCTCCAAACCCACCACCCAACCCTCAACTGCACGACCATCACCCTCCCCTCCACAACCGGCGACCCCAGCGCCACATTCAAAGACGACCTCTCCGCCGCCCGCGCCGCCATCACCCACGAAACCCTCCACCACGGACGCAACGTTGTCCTAATCGCGCACTCCTACGGCGGGATGGTCGCCAATAGCGCCATCAAAGGCTTCACAGTCCCCCAAACACCCACATCCGGCACCATCATCGGCCTAATCCTCATCGCCTCCGGCTTCACCCTAACCGGCTTCTCCTTCATGGACCCCTTCCTAGGCCACCCCCCGCCCTCCTGGCGCGCAAACCACACCACCGGCTTCGCCGAACTAGTCACTTCCCCCCGCGAACTCTTCTACCATGACCTCCCTGAGGAAGAAGCCCGGTACTGGGCCTCGCAGCTCAGACCGCAGAGTCTGAAAGCGCTGTTCGAGGGCGGTGAGTTCTCGTATGCCGGGTGGAAGGACGTCCCGTGCTGGTATATAGGCACGGAGGGGGATAGGGGGTTGCCGGTGCTGATGCAGCGGGTGGGTGTTGGGATCGCGAGGGGGTTGTGTCCTCCGGGATGGAGGGTGGTGTATAGGGAGGTGGTGGGCGCCAGTCATTCGGTGTTTCTGAGTAGGGTTGAGGTCGTGGGTGGGTTGGTTTGGGAGGCTGTAGGGGGGGTTATGGGGAGGAAGGATCTTGGGTTTGAAGGGGGCGGAAGGAAGGGGGTGGATGGTTATTGGGAGAGTCAGGGTGTGGTTGTGCCTGAGGCGGATGTTTGGAGGGTGTCGACGTGGTTCAAGTATGGTGTGCCTGCGGCGTTGGGGAGGGGGGTAGGGTGGGGGTTTGGGTTGGTTGGGTGGGTTAGGGGGTGGTGGTAGGTAGATTAGATATGTTAGTCTGTCTGTATATATAGTAGTAGTAGGTGACTTGGTCTGATGTATATGTTTATTTGTGGGTTGTCTGATTACGTTCGAATCCGGGGGGTTTTTCTATTTGGTAGTTGGGAATACTCTCTTCTCTCTCATGTGATTACTTAGCCCTCGGTGTATGTATGTATAATTATGGCGGTGTATACAGTGGAATTGATAGAACATACTGTCTGTCTGTCTGTCTGCATGATGAAATACAGGTTGTCTATGCCATCATACTACTTCTCTCTATTATCATATCGTCTCATCTGTATCAACTACTAAAACGTGTGATGTATGACTTCACCGATGGAATTTGCTAGGAAGTATATACCGAGCATACCTACATCATATTATATCCACATCAGTGGAATGATAGGTAAGTAAGAACCATGCACCATCAACCTACGTACCCAAACCTCATCATCAGCCTTAACGATTGGGACACTAGAATCTCTTCGAAGTCCGAACAACTAATAGTTATATACTATATACGAACTGCATAGATACCCGATCCCGGGGCAGTTCTTTATGCCTAAGAAACCTAAAGTAAGAAAAAAGGACAAAAAAATATTTCCATGTCTATGGTTCGTCTGTTTGTTTCTTTCCTCTGTAGTAAATAGGAGCGGGCTAATGCAAAGAAAGCCCACCCACATCAATTTCGTCATTCGTGATCGTCATCATGTACTCCTAAATGTGTTCAGTCCCACCGCCGTGAAATTCATTCATGGCCACACCATCCAAAAAACAAAACCAAATAATCAAAAAAAAAAAAAAAATATAAACCAAAATGCAACCAACAGGGTAGATAGATAGCCCTGGTCCGTGCGCCGACTGAGTGGCGGATGTTGTTATAGTAGTAATAAAAACAGGTATATCGTAGTGGGAAGAAAAAGGGGGAGGCGAAAATATCAGAATCGAAAGGGGATAAATGACAAAATTATGACATGGTACTCATCGAACATGGACCGTATACGCAAAACAGTGATAGCTGGGAGGCCGTGGCATGTATTGACGTCTAACGGTCAGACATGAAAGACGTCAAGGCATGCGGGTGCTCAGAGACTATCGGAGAAGAAAATGAGCTTCTAGAGCGGGAAGGGTGTGAGGGTAAGTGGGTGGCTTGCTGTTGCAGCAACCTGTAGACCTGACTTCTCAAGTCATCATTGACGCTCATCCAGCATATGTGGATTGCCGCCGTTCAGGGGGCGGAACCGGGTACTCCCCGTATGGCTGTCGCATGTAAGCCTCGCGGGGTGCGATGTAATCTGGCCCCACCTCTCGCGCATACCTGTACTCTTTGTCTTTGGGCGAGCGAACCTCGCCATACACAGGCCGGCTTGAGGAGTGTCGGGACACGCTGGGACGAGCAGCAGACTCATAGCGCATGTGTTCTGTGGGGTAGGTGTAGGTGCTACTCCGAACGGGAGGCTTCGGCATAGGGCGTTCTTGACGTGGCGGTGAACCCCCCCTTGCGTATCTGGGGGACTTCTGGGGTAGCGGTATGCTGGGTTCTCTGAGCACGGTGTCCGGTTCCGTCACAATCTTGTAGCGAGTCGACTTGGGCGGACTCTCGCCGGTTGCCATCTCTGGCGTGCCCGGACTCGAGTAGCCCGAATCGTACTTGTCCGTTCGCAGTTTCGCTGTCCGACTCGCCTCATGAACCATGTTATGCAGTGGATTTTCGCGGCTCATTCCCCTGGGGCGGGAATGGGTTTGTGCAGCGCTCGCAGAGCGCGAGGGCTGAAGAGACGGCCGGACAGAAGACGGAATCTTCACTGACGGTGAAGTTGCCGCAGTTGGCATGCTAGGTACCTTGACTTCGTAGGATCGGGCTTGGGACCCGAGCTTCTCATATGATCCATTGCGAGAACTACTGGTCCGAACACTTTCCTTGCTCGGTCGTTTTGTGCGGCCCGAGTGTCGTGACGAGGAAGACTCTGGGTCGGCGGATTCATAGCCATGATTGCGCGGGGGCGAGCGGGAGGTTTGCGGACGTCTGTCAATTTCGATCGGAACGGATCCCTTGGAGCGTTCAATGTAATCTTTAGCGGTGGTGTGTAGCTTGTCATGCTTTGACTCATGCCTCGACTCATATTCATCCGTGTACTCATCGTCGTAGCGGGTCGACGTGTGCCGGCGCGGGAGATCCGCCGGTCGGGACTTTCGAGAAGAGGCCTCCCGGTTGCGCCTTTCCGAGGGGCGCTTAATTTTCACATAAACCGTGGACGAGGCGCTGGAGTCAGATGCGCCGCCATCGTCTTCGGAGTCGCTGTACGGAACGGCCCGCTCATACTTCTCGTAGGCATCCCGTTGTCGTTCCCTGGTACGATATTTGGCTCGACTGCTGTGGGTCGTCCTCGAATTGTCGCGAGCCATATCCCTCGCCGCACGAGTACTAGGGCCTTCACTCTTGCTCTTCTTCTTCTCGCTCGGGGGTTTGGAGGAGTATCGTTTCTTATACTCATCGTATTTTCGGGACGTTGAGCGCGACTCTTCGGAGAATTGGAGGTCGTCATCGGAATAGGTGGCTGCATCAGCCGGCGTCCTCTCCTCGTAGTACCGTCCGTTGCGATACTCGCGAGGGGCGCTGGCGCGCGGGGTGGCATAGGCCGAGGTACCATTGACCGGTACGCCTTGTTCGTGCATTTGGCGACGCAGCTCAGCCAGCCGAGCTTTCGCATCGTACTTGGCCCTTCTCGTCTCATCCGAAAGCGTCTCGTAAGCCTGCTGCACCTTCTGAAATTCATCCTGAGCCTTGCTTCTCAGCGACTCATCTTTGATCTTATCGGGGTGACATTTCAACACGAGTTTGCGATGAGCAGATTTGATATCCGACAAGGCCGCATCCCTTGCCACCCCCAACACTTCGTATGGATCGATATCTGGCGCGGCTGCCATGATGGTCTGTGTAAGACACTAGTGAAAGATGGGGTAGAAAACATATAAACCAGCTTCAATGCAGGATCAACAGGAGATTTAAATAGACAGTATGATGATAAATGCAGAGCGACAAGAAAGCGACAAGTGCCGCGGTGTGGCGTTGTATAAGAAAGCGTGGAGGACAGCAGAAGCGGTAAGTACCTGAACGGAGGGAGGCGAAGCCGGAGGGTTGCAGCGATAGCGCGGATGTGTAAGGTACGCTGAGATGGACAAGGCGGGCGGATAGACGGCTCGATGGGGTGACGTGGGTGCTCGACGATCAATGGCGCATAGTCAGGATTGTCCCGATCGGATATGCGGCCAATTCATGGAGAAGGCCGGCGAAGACGAAAGAAGGGGAAGAAGCAGGATGACAAAAGGTAGGGTGAAACCGGCAGGCAGGAGGGGAGTCAGTTGTAGTGAATTGGGATGTGAAATTAATGAGTAATAATGAGTAAAAGGAGAGACACGGGGAGTTTATGATGAGTGAGAATATGAACCATGCAGGATAAAAGTCACTAGTAAGAGTCTGGTTTGGAGTGTGCAGCGGGTTTAAACCAAAGAGGTAGACAGAGAGGGTGGAGGGGAGGGGAGGGGAGGGGGAGGGAAATTGCGAGGCAAAATAACCCAAAATAATAATGAATTAGTTGGTAGGTAGGTTTTAGGTATGGTTACTGATGGATCCCCAAGTTGTATGGCAGGAAGATTCCCAAGTACCCAAGAGAAGAAAAAGTAAGAGGGGAACAGCTGGGGGCAGTACTTGGCCCGGGTAATTTCGCCCAGCAAACCAGACCCGAAGTTAGTTAGTAGTCAGAGTGGATGCACTCCAGTTCAATCAAGAGGGGGGAATATTCCTATCTGGTCGGGAGAGGCGACCAGCGCTGAGGGGCAAAAGGGGAAAAAGTCAAAAATACTAAAGAGAAGGAGAGGAAAAATGCGAGAAAATCAAAAGGGATTTTCCCCCCAACGGGCAAATACCGCCAAACAATCGGACCCAAGCACACTGCGCCACGCTGCTTCAACTGGAGACCGGAAGAGTGTAAGCTAAAAGTAGAAAAAGCAGCCAAATCGACTAAGACTAAAGGATGGTCAGATGAAGTGGCACCACGTTTAGTCAGGGTTGCTGGTCGAGTGAGGGAGTGAGGGAGTTAGCTGGTCAGACGCCAACGTCGATGAATAATGGCTGATGATTAAACTAGAAGACGCTCGATGATGCCACCAGCTGCGTCTGGTTGGATTGTCCTTGCTGGGGTTTAGGCCAAATGCGAAGTATATCGGTGGTATAAGAAGTGGGCAGGAGTAGCAGCAGGGAGGACAACTGGATTCAAACAGGATTGATTGGCAACAATGACGATATAAGAGTCGGATCGTCTCGTGAATCTCTTGGGAGTGATGATGATGATTATGATGAGGACGAGCAGCAGAAGGATGACTCTGAAGAGAGTAGTATGATGATTATGATACTCTCTGCATTCGAATTCCTGGTGCAGAGCGAGCCAACAGATGGACTGTAAAGCAGCGGTGAAGTGGGAAAGTGAAACCAACGATGGGGTCTTGTCACAATCAGGAAGCCCAAGGGCCCGCTTTGCGAGGAACAACAGCAACAATCGTCAACAGGCAAGTTGCAATAATGGAGAACCAACGATGAACGATTGGCAAGGAGCGGTCAATCATTGATGCCTTTCAGCAGGAAGGCAGGATGAAAACAGGACAATTGGTTCATACAATGTCCAAAAAGTAGATCACAGGAGGCATAAGAATACGGAATACAGGATCGAAGATTATTATTATAAAACAGCCACCAGAAGGTGATCTAGAGAATGAGACGTATCATCCTGCAAACGAAGGGAAATGAAACTGGACCTGATGTGGTACAAATACCCCGGTGGTGTTTGACCGTGGGTTTATCTCCGATCCATGAAGGAACCATTTCCATTGGAGGGATTGGTACCTGGCGAGAAGACTTCCAGGTACAAGAGAGAAAGAACTCGTAGTATCTAAGCCTTGACTTTTGTTGACCTTCGTATCATGTTGGCTTCTCGCAAACC